GGTTTCGATGAGAATCTCAGAATGTGATCTACATTCACTTTTTGTTTGTGAATGGACAGGCTGTGCAGCTTGATACAACCTATTATGATACACCTTTCAATGCCTCCTCTCATAAAAGCGATGTCAGCTTGAAAGCAACCAGCTGTTGGCATTTCAAAGTCAAATTATCACACTCAAGAACTCAAAGCTTTCAAATCTACGAAGTTTCTAGATAAACCATTTGCAATATGTCGACAACTTCATCCCCTATTCTATCTTCAGTTCCTCTCGAGGAGCTCCAAACACCATTACCATGCAAAGGTTGATATCTCCTGATCCCTGTCTTTATTTTTACTCGGCCTATTATTATTTCAGTCTAGTCTAGTCTACCCGACAAGTGTTCTGCTTAGATTGGACTAAAATTTTAGCGTGTGCTTTCTGAGCAGCACCAGGGTGTCTTGGTTTTGATCCTCTTTTCAAAAAACACCAAGATCTTCTTAGGCAGAGCTTTATTGAAATCGTCAATAACGGTTGATGTTGTTTATGTCGCCCTTGTCTGTACGGTTGAGGTTATAGACTCCAGCCCTTGATATGGACTGCAAAACAACAAAAAACTTTATTGCATGAGTCCATCTCCATGACAGAATACATTTTTGATCATAATTTTATAGCCTTTAAATAGAGATTAAATTTGCTAACTCATGGCATCACATAGGTTCCATGGCTGATGTTCCAAAAAATTACTTGGAACAAATCAAGAAGCTTGAGCAACAGTTCACTGTTGACACCAAGAAACTCAAGGAGATCACTGAACACTTCGTCTCTGAGCTTACAAAAGGTAATTCTTGTGTTCTCTAAATGCGATACGAGCGCTGTGCTAATTTCAAATCAGGTCTAACTGTAGAGGGTGGAAGTATTGTATGTTCTTCGGATCCGAAGTATGAGTTATGACTAATTTTGTTTAGCCCATGAACCCAACTTGGTGCATGACATTCCCAGATGGTTATGAAACTGGTACATTCCTTGCCTTGGACATGGGAGGTACCAACTTGCGTGTCTGCGAAATCATCTTGACTGATGAGAAGTCCGAGTTTGATATCATTCAATCAAAATACCGCATGCCAGAAGAGCTCAAGACTGGTGAGGCAGATGAACTTTGGGAATATATCGCCGATTGTCTTCAGCAATTTGTTGAGTCCCATCATCAAGGTGAGAATCTTGGAACGTTAAGTCTCGGTTTCACCTTCTCCTACCCAGCTACCCAAAATTACATTGATGAGGGTATTTTGCAAAGATGGACCAAGGGCTTCGATATTGCAGGTGTCGAAGGTGAAAACGTTGTTCCAATGTTCGAGGCAGCTCTTGCCAAGAGAGTAAGTTGTTTAGTAGCATTCAGAAGATAACGCTTGCTAAGAATTCATCAGGGCGTTCCAATTAAGCTTACAGCTTTGATCAATGATACCACTGGTACCTTGATTGCTTCCGCATATACTGACACAGCCATGAAGATTGGTTGTATCTTCGGAACTGGTTGCAACGCTGCGTACATGGAAAACTGCGGCTCTATCCCAAAATTGGCACACATGAACCTACCTCCTGACACCCCAATGGCAATCAACTGCGAGTGGGGTGCTTTCGATAATGAACACAAAGTTCTCCCCCGTACTCCATACGATATCATTATTGATAAAGATTCTCCACGTCCTGGTCAGCAAGCATTCGAGAAGATGATTGCTGGTCTTTACCTTGGAGAACTTTTCAGATTGGTTCTCGTTGATCTTCATGACAACAAAGATATCCACATGTTTGAGGGTCAAGATATTGAAAAACTCCGAAAGGCTTACACCTTGGACTCTTCATTCTTGTCTTTGGTCGAAGAGTATGTTCCCATACATTCATATCTTTTAATAATTAAATGATTAACATCTATCTAGGGACCCATGGGAGAACTTGTCAGAGACTGCTGATCTTTTCCAGAATAAGCTCAGCATTAGAGCCACTGTTCCAGAACTCGAGCTCATCCGTCGCCTTGCCGAGTTGATTGGTACCCGTGCCGCCCGTCTCTCCGCTTGTGGTGTTGCTGCCATTGCCAAGAAGAAGAACTATGAGACTTGCCACGTCGGAGCTGATGGATCTGTCTTCAACAAATACCCCCACTTCAAGGCTCGTGGTGCTGCCGCACTCCGTGAAATTCTTGATTGGCCTGCAAAGAAGAATGCTAAGGAGGCTGACCCTATTGAAATCTTGGCTGCTGAGGATGGATCTGGTGTCGGTGCAGCTTTGATTGCTGCTTTGACCCTCAAGCGTGTTAAGGAAGGTAACATGGCTGGTATCTTGCACCCAGAGAACTTCAAGTAAACAAGCGTGCCAGTTCTTGTACCGAGATCTCCAAGTTAGAGGGTGTTATGAAATGAAGCGAACATGAATACCATAGACAATAAGTTATGGTCAATGTTTTGAGAGAATGATCCTATCGCATAGGAATGCGTATGTAGACAGATGACTTGCATGGCTTTTTTTGCTTTTCCCTGGTTGCACATGGCATTCGTGTTGTTAGCAAATGATAGCTTTTACAAATCACATACAAAGAACGATATATTTGCAATCTATCTATCATCTGAAATTGATTTCTATAACCTGGGTATCATGTATGCCCCTTTTACCCCGAAAGTCAAAACCCAAAACTATAAAAACCCAAAAAATCTGTATCCAGAGCATCATTATCAATCACATCATAAAATATATCTAAAATTCGGCCCGTCGTTTTCTCTCCCTCCATTTGAGTCCTTCAAACTCCCATTTCCATTTCTATTTTCATTTTCATTATCGCCGTTAACGCCATACTTTTCATCCAATTTTCGATTTTCATGTGCAAGTCGGAAACGCAAGGTCATTGCTAAAGCGCCGTTGAAGAGCATGAAAGCTGCGCAAACCCACTAATAAGAAAATGACGATTAATATATTTTTCTCAATCCCCCGCTTTCACGTCGAAGAATTGGTTAAGAGCAGAGACAGAGACGAAGATAGTGGAAATAAATGAACATACCATTCCTTTGTGATAATAGGGTCCTTCACTACTGGGATATAACCTCGTTCCCAGAAGGGGGTCGCATTGACCCACCACATTTAGAATCGCAATTCCTGTACCTCGTTTACTCTCACTCCCTTGATTGTTCATTACCCAGGGAAGGATATTTCCAATTGCTGGGAAAATGCCCGATGCGGCTAGGAATACTCCGGCGTAGCGAACTCCTGTGCTGGTTGATACGGCGAGCATTATATATCCAGTTGCCCCTATGAGAGATAGGATAAGGATGGTGTATCCGCGTTGTGAATACTTGTCTGCAAGCCATGTTGTAAGAATAACAACTAGGAATGCGAGGAAATAAGGCGGAGCTGAGAGTCCTTGCGCAGTAACGCTTGAGAAACCCATTGCGGCAAGAATGGTAGGTAGGAATACTGGCAGAGATGCAAACGATACGTTGCAGGAGAAATACATCAATGCTGTGGTCCAATTTTTGATATCGAGGAACGCGGCACGCACTTCCTGCCATTGGATTCCGTGTGGTCGATTGGAATCCGTGGTACCTACCTGTCGAACCTTGCGTGCTTTCGCAATGAGTACTTCCTCTTTCGTCAGAAACTTGGCCTTTTCAGGACTATCGGGCATGAGGAACCAGGTAAGAACACCAGCAAGAATGGCTGGCAAGCCTTCGACGAGGAAAAGCACACGCCAGGCCGCAATGCTTTCGAAATGCCCAGAAGTAATACCATAAGCTAAAGCACCAGCAAAACATGTTGCCAAAGGAGCTGCCCCAAGGTAAAATCCACATCGAAGTCCGAGTTCATTTCTCAGATAGAAGAAAGATAACAGGAACGTGATGCCTGGTGCAAAGGAAGCCTCAAAAGCCCCTAGGAAAAATCTGGCAGCCATCATTCCAGACCAGTTGTACGCAACAGTTTGCAATGTTGCTGATAATGCCCATCCCACTACTGTTATGGCGCCCCACATGTGCGGTGGGATGATTTTCCACATTAACACCAATGGCTCGAATACAATGTATGATATATAGAATATAGTGAGGAGCCATTCGTAGCTATCAGAATCGAGATGCAAGTCATCCATCATACCAGCAATTTTCGCATTGCCAATGTTCGAACGATCAAGATATGCTAGGAGATCTTTTGAAAATGATTAGTTTGATGCCATTGACTCCATCAGAGTTCCAGGAAAGACATACATAGCCCAATGATCAGAGGCATCAAGTGCCTATCTATTTTCCGCACAACTCTTCTCTCCATCTCAGTGTCAATTGCTGGAAACGACTCATCTTGCATCCACAAATCCAATTGACTTTCAACATCCATCTTCGTACCCTGAACATCTTTCATGGTCGACATACTCTCGTTGTTTGTGTCGACACAGTGCGAAATCGACGACACTTGTATAAGCTCTCAACTGGAGTAGGACGATATATCTGTATCACATCGGAACACAACAGAAACTGGACTTACCGTTTATATGGACGTAGAAAGAATAAGAGTCATACTCACGGTACACATCATTGCTATTGAAAACTAGTCATAATTGTATATGCACGATAGCTTCTTGAGCTTATATTTGTGATAATCATTTGTAGATCCTTGTCTGTTCGCAGAGCTAAAATGGGGTAATCGGCAGTATGTTTCCGGTTCCTGGATGGTCTCTATTCATCTTGATGGGCTCGATGAGAGGGCTAGAGAGGTCGAATTCATGTCTTAAAGTCTTGTTGTGTCGTTCCTAAATCTTTCGGATAGATACATAAGATAAGCCGAGACATTGTAAATTGCTGATGTTGCTCATCAGGAATTGAGTTCACAAGATTAATCGGACCCATGCAACACCGATCTGCCAGTCCCTACCGCCCTCTCTCCGCCAAATCCATTGACCCCTCCAAAAATTATTTCCCCAGCATTCTGAAATCCTAAAGATTTCAAACATCTTATAAAGTTATAAAGTTTACATAAAACTAACCTTCAAAATGGATGACCCAGCATTTGCCCCCGAAACCGATACAACTACCCAGACTATCCTCCTCGCAGCCTCCAACCACGATCTCGCCGCCCTCAAACCCCTCCTTCGAGTACCCGGCGCTGCTTCAGTTCAGGATCCCGAAACTGGTTTCACACCTCTTCACGCCGCAATTGCATCTTGTGAAGATTCCCCCTCTACTGAAGATTTAGAGGCTGCGAAAGCGACTATTAAAGAATTATTTTTGTCGGGAGCTATATGGAATGATTTAGATACGAACAATGAGACACCTGGATGTCTGGCGTGGAGATTGGGCAGGAAGGAATTATATGAATTGGTTGTGGAAGCTGGTGTGAGAGCGGAGGTTTTGATGAACTTGATGGGTGGGTATGAGGAGTTGAGTGATGGGGATGAAGACGAAGAGGACGAAGTAGAGGGGATGGAGATAGTTGTAAACGAAGAAGCCACAGACGAAGCAGCAGAAGAAAATGAGGCAGAAGAGCCAAAGAAAGACGTCAATTCCGCAGATTATCTCAAAAGCAAACTCGAATTTACAGAAGATGCACTTCTCGACGCTGATGCTAACGGTGTAATGATGGCATGGGAAACATCCATCATGCAACGTACTGTCGATCTTCTTATCCCCTCCTCTTCACCTCCATTACGAATCCTCAATATTGGTTTCGGAATGGGCATAATAGACACGATGTTCGCATCCACGAAACCAGCCAGCCACCATATAATAGAAGCCCACCCTGATGTTCTTACACACCTACAAGAACCAGGTCATAAATTTGGAAAAGAATGGCAAGCATCTGCACCCGAAGAAGGAAGCTATAAAATTCACGCTGGTCGCTGGCAAGAGATTCTACCAAAGCTGCTTGAAGAAAATCTTCAATTCGACGTTATTTATTTCGATACATTCGGAGAATCTTATATGGAGCTCAAGAAATTCTTTTCCGAATACGTCATCGGCTTATTGTCTGAAACTGGAAAATTTAGTTTCTTCAATGGACTAGGAGCAGATAGAAGAGTTTGCTATGATGTGTATACCAAAGTCTCGGAGCTGGATCTGTGCGATGCAGGATTAGATGTTGATTGGGTTGACGTGGAAGTCGAGGAGCTTGGGGGAGAGGGTGAGGGTGAATGGAAAGGCGTAAGAAGGAGATACTGGGTTTTAGACACATATCGTTTACCAATCTGTACTTTCATGGGATGATATAAAGAGCAAACTGCGGAAAAGTTTAGATGGGAAGGAAAATAGAAGTTGATACCCTCTTTGACTAGTTTCAATACAATTATCTAGTTGCTATATACTACATGGCAATCTATTATTATGAGATTTCCTGTACATCTAGGAATACTCGTTTAGCTTCTCGTAAAATTCATGCATAAAGCGCTGTTTAGTAACATCCTCTCTCGATTCGCTAGTATCGGTTCCGTTATCAGATTCATTTAGGCTGTAGATGTATTGTGCACCTCAGAGCCTCTCCGCCAAAAGATCTTTTCTCGCATTTCAACTATTCTTTACATTACACCATATTATATCCTTCACACACTTCCGTTTGTTGCCAATCGTAACTCCTGTCATATTACCAGTAGACTCTGAGCTTATGATTAATAGCCCTTGGTGGTTATTAGCAGATGTTCATTTCCCCTCAGTGCCCAAATAACAGCTTTCTGTTGGATATCTCAACATGGGGTAAGATTAGAGTATACTTTGAATAGCTCTCTAGTCTTGTTCTAGTGGTTGTGATTCCTGCCTTTAATTGGACTTCCTGATTGGTCTTAAATACCCAGAAGATAGTTGTTGCACGTCGCTAACCCTTGCAGTCTTCAAGTAATCAGTATTAGTAGATGTTAGTTGATATTGATCGACGCTACTCGATCTTGGCCTCTTTTTAGTGCTTGGCTAATTGGTGAAGATGATCTTTATTGCACACCGTCAATCTGGCACCTATAGTTAGATACTTGTTAGTCGCAGTAGTATCCTCTGTTCTCCTCAAAAGATAAGAGAATGGCCTATCAGAGAGTAGTAAAAGGGGTTTCGCATGCCGTAGCCCCCTGTACGTTTGATAGATTGCTTGTGAGGTGGGAAGATTGGGTCGACGTCGTACACTCCAAAATTAATTTTGGCTACGAATGCAGGAATGCAGGAATGCAGAACCTAAATTCAACCACGTGTAGCCAATGTTCATTTGTGAAGGCGACAACGATATGACTTATATGCTTCAATTGGAAAATGGTGCAGAAATAATGAAAAAGGTACATGAATTCTTTGAATTTTTCCTCTGACAACGTTCTTCGATGTTTGAGTCGGTTGATAACACCAAGCTTGGAATATTGGCTTGTACTAGTCATCTCGTAGAAAATCGTGTTAGATAGACTCACTTTTCTATACATGTTGGCTATCGATATCTCCTCATACTGTGAGATCTCTCCTGATTCTGACTGGTTGAATGTTTCCTGGAGATCTCTTCTGCTGCTGTGCATGCTGCAGAAAATATATGATGCAATGACGTTGCGATTTTTATTCGTGGAAATCTAATATTCTTCACGGGTGAATGACCAGTCGCAATTTGAAAGTAGCACAACCATTAATGATCGATATTCTCAAATCACTTTCATCATATCATTGTTCGCATTCAGGATGATTCGAATTCTTTAAAATATAAGTGCATTGGTTAAGAAATTGAATCTAAAATATGTAAACGACCACGACGAACTTCCAGGAATCGTGCTTCGGCAGACTCGGCTTCACCTGACCATTTATATGACCGAACCTTAAGCTAGGAACTAGTTTGTCCTTAGTCCAGAGCTAAGCGATCTTACAATATATAACTCCCTCTCCCCATGAACTTCATTCTTTTCTACTTATCGTTCGTCGTAACATGAGAGTACACAATTCCCAGAACTTTCAGGCGCAAGTTTTCTTCCCTCTCAAGTGAGTGAGTCCCAAATCATCAAACATACAATGCACCTGCAGGGTTGGGCTTACTCAAGGCGTCATCGAAAACGAGAGAGAATGAAATGGGAATTGTGAGAAAATGACGTCTAGGGGCACATAGGTCTATGATGAAGAAAACCAGTCCATAGAGATAATCGTGCCGCGGATTATATGGCTCTGTGTTTGATGTTCGTGAAAGCGGACAGATAACCTGGCTGTGTGATCCGAGGAGATATGACGTGGATGACTACTGGTTTGTTCCTGAGATCTGTTCTTTTTGTTCTATTTTGAGTTTTTTTCTGGGGTGCAAGGGCGCGGGAATTTTACGTCATATTTTTCTACAGGTAGATTTTGTGAGCCAGTTTGCACATTCTCGGCTCTGAAGTTCTGCATAAAAAATTGAGGACTAGTATTGAAACATCATGGAAATTGAGCACATTTCAAATGATTGATCATGCTCGACGTCGGCACTTGAACGAATCCTAAAAGGGTTGAGCTTTAGTCGGCGAGACTGGTATGTCATTACAACAACTTTGATAGGCAATCCAAAGTCATCCTGGAACTTAGACAAAAAGCGTGTTTAGAGATTTGAAATTACCTACAGATTTACTTTTAAAACACTAGGTAAGTTAACCGACCTGCATATAATATAGCCTGATCTGAGACAAATATTGCTGACCGACTCGAGTCTTTTGTTATCTAAACATCGCTAACGTAAGTCTAAATAGAGTTGAACTCAATGTCATTGAATTACCACTCGATTCGAAAAACACAGGGATCAGGCCCGTAATTTCAATATTCAGATGGGCAACAAAACCATTCAATAATCACAATTGGCCTCTATAAACATGATTTGAACATGGAGATCTGATATAAGATTTGATCTGCTATTAGCGTGCCACTTATTCGGTTAATCAAACCCGCCCACAACTTAGCGAACAAAAATGCGGCTAAAAATCACGCCATTGAGACCATCTCTAAATAAATTAGTAGCATTCGAAACACTTCTACGTTTATCTGAAGCAAAAGGTTAAACATTAGTCTGCCCACTATTATCCCAAATTCCATGGCCGAAGCAGCAAAAACATTCTATAAACCATTCTTTATCCTCTCCTTGATCTCTGGTAATCTGCGACCCAATATTTGTCTGGTGCTTTGATTTAATCATTGTTAAACCGAAGATAAGGCCCATCCTGAGCTTTAACCAACGGAGCTTTCTTTCCGCGTTCTTAACTTGCAAGAGCAGGAAATAAAAAGGATGATTCATAAATATCAGGAAAGGAAGGTGGAATCGATGATGGGAATTATCAGTACCCATTGATTCGAGAATGCTCTAGATTTGGTTCGAAACTTAGATTGATTACCAGGCTAGAGTGTTTGAGATCGGCATATGATAGAAGCTGATTATTTCCGAGATTCTTTTACTTTCTTCGCAATTTTTGTTTTCAATCCTACTCGAATTGCGATTGAATGTAAAAAGAATGTGGCCTTATCATGACAACTAATTATTCGGCTTACATACTTAGTGAGCTGGGATAGTGCATGGATTGGATTTCAACACCAGCATGCTCGATAATGAAATTTTAAAATAAATCATGAAAGGATCAAACGTAGGTAATGCACTAGGTTTTGTATCTAGGTTGATAACCACCTGACACTAATTTTCAAATAACCCACTTCCATAAGTTTAGTTTGCAATAGCTCTATAGTAGCTATACCAAAAAACCCCAGCAAAGAAACTCTACAGTTCCTCCGTGCCATTATTGAACGGACTCCCATTGTTGCTAAATAAATGAAAGAATAAGAAAGAAATCTCGATAAAGTCTTTGTCCCACCATTGTAATCAAAGAATCTCTCGATTCTTCTGATAACAAAGACAGATAAAAAAGACAATGTTAACAAAGAGGCTTAAGCTCTTTGAACCTTTGAATTAGCACCTTGGAGTCTGGAGATCTCATATTCCAAATTCGAAATCCACATGTCATGCACTTGCACCTTGTGTTGGATCACTTAACTCGGAACTAATTTGACATTTCAGCGTGAATTTATGTTTACATCACGAGTATAGATCAAAAAGTGTCGTTCGCAAAGGGGTTTTAATCACGGAAATAAGAATAGGGAATCGGATGAAATGGAATAAGTCAGTTTTTTTGTTGAATTTTTGAATTGAGATAAACCTACATTGAGACAATTGGAAGATAGAAAGTGACGGACCAGTCTTATCTTGAAAGAAACCACGAAACTTACCAAAGTCTTGCAGTCGGCCAGTGAGCACTAGGTGGAACCCAATCTCTGCTCCCGTTGGAACCGTTAGGTAGATAAGGTTTTGGGAATGGCGCCACATTCCTCTCTCTCGCGAGATCATAACGTTCAACCCAAGAAAGAAATTTGGCAAACGTGATGAGACGTCCGCTGATTCCTATTTTGTCGAAGTTTGGGTAGAATCGTTTGTTTCGATCACAATGTGCATATAGCGTTTCTTTGTTAGGACAGCCATAGTACATTGGTGAGCGACGACGGACTTCTGCTGTGAGAGTTTCATTGATCATGAGTCCAGGAACATGGAGGATTCGAACAAAACTATCAATTAAAGAGTCAGGGGGCGAGAGGTTATTCAGAGGGTAGTAAAATGAGTTGTCAGCACCTTTAGCGGGATTATAACCTCTGAAACCACTAACGTGGAGAGTACTGCAGATACGAATTCGACCGTTCTTCATTTCTTCTCCGTGTCGTGCACCATAAGATAACTCCCATCCAAAAGCAAGGCACATGATGTTGCATATTGTGTATATGCCGCAGTCAGGTTCCTTCTGGTCTTGTACCTCGCTTCGGCCGGTTCGGAGTTTCCAATCGCATGGATTGAATCTTTGACTCAATGGTGGCTCGTCTCCAAGATATATTGTAAGCATAGCAAGGAAACTTTCAACACATTGAGCACCTTCACCGCGAATGAGACCATCGTCGTCGGCGCTACAGAGATAGTCAATGGTCTTGGCTTCTGGAGAGATAGCACAGACAGCTATATGTCCAAACTGGCCCGTTTCTTCTGAACCAGTTTGAACAAGGAAGAAATAATAGCGCAACTGCCAAAATTCTTCTCGCGAAAATCTCTTGGCAAGTTCCGCCGCAGCGTGCTCTGGTCCTTGCTCCATGACCTCATGGAAGTCAGTGGACCAATAGACAAACATGGGAACAGTCCCAGGAAGATGTCTATTAGGTGTTACTCTGCTTGGATCATTGGATGGGAGAGCAGAGTGCCAACGATTAGCATA